AGAGAGAGAGGGAGACACAGACTGAAACAGGCTCCAGGCTCCGAGCTGGCCGTCAGCACAGAGCCCGACGCGGGGCCCAAACCCACGAACCGCGAGATCATGACCTAAGCGAAAGTCGGACGCTTAACCGACTAAGCCACCCAGGCGCCCCTGATTATATTTTTAAAACTGACGCGGATGGACCCCGTGTGTCAGCCCCTGGGATGCGCCCGACAGGCCACGGAGACAGGGAACAGCTCTCACCAGAAGTCTCCGTGCGGCCTCTACGTGGACAAGCCCTGCCGTGTCCCGGCCCCTGGGGGCTCCGGCCTGTTCTCCACCCCCAGGGTTTAGTCTTTTCCAGAAGGTCTGGGTCATATAGAAAGCGTGTGATTAATGTCACAGGAAACCGTGTCCGAAGGTGGCTGTGCCACCTTCATTCCCATCAACCAGCTGACACTTCCAGCCACCAGGCCGCGGCTCCGCGTCCTGCCACGTGGACCGGCGGCTCGTGGGGCCCCAGCGCCCCCCCCCCATAACAAAGGACACGGGCAGCTCGCGGCTGCAGTGTCTGCACGGACACTTTGCCCGCCTGCTCGCGGTGTGGTCTGCGCCCTTCCTTTCCGGGCACGCGTGCTTGGTAAGCTCTGTGGTTTCCAACGGGTGGCTCTGCCGGGGGCCAGCCTCCCTCCCCCCTCCCCGCGTCACACGCCGGCCTCGCGGTGTCTGCGGCAAAGCCGGATGCTTCGCTTCCCCGTATAGATGGCGCTTTTAGTGGCGTTTCTGGGAATCCTTTGCTTTACTCAAGGTCACCAAGATTTTCTCCTGTGTTAGCTTCGAAAAGTTTTATGCGTTATATTTAGGTCTAGATTCCGTTTCAGTTACTTTTTGCAAAAGGTGTGACCCGCAGGGACGCCTGGGTGGCCCAGTCAGGTAAGTGTCCCACGTCAGCTCAGGTCATGGTCTCCCGGTTCCTGAATTTGAGCCCCGAGTCCAGTTTGCTGCTGTCACAGCACGGAGCCTGCTTGGGGCTCTGTCTCCCCCGCTCTCTGCCCCTCCCCCGCTCACCCTCTCTCTCTCTCAAAATAATTAATACACTTTAAAAAAAAGACACAATGTGCTTTCTCCACTCGGTGACCCTTGCTCCTTGGCAATTAGTGCAAATGACAGGATATATTGTGAATGTCATTAACCAGATGCTGACACGATTCATATCTGTGTAAGTTTGCTTTCTGCGTCAAAGCACTTACCTCTCAAAACTGTATGTCTTATTAATCAGGGGGTGAGCAGGCCGGTCGCGTTTCACCAGGACTGTTTCCTAATTAAAAAAAAAAAAAGAAAGCATAAACAAAGCAGTTAGGCCCCCGGCAGGGCGGCACTGGGAACACAGAGCCGGGGTGACAGACCACAGCCCTGGGGCCCATCCCGCCGCTCGCCTGTTTTTGTAAACAAAGTTTTAGTGGAACACAGCCACACCCGGTTTAGGGATTGTCTACGGATGCATTTTGCTCAGCCGCACAATTGAGTAACTAAGACAGCGGCCAGATGGTCCCCAAAGACTAACATTTCCTTCCCCACGCCGGCCGGGCGCTGGTGTGCGAGGAGAGGAATGCACAGGGGAGCTCATTGCCCGCTACACACGGGGCGGGGGGGGGGGCAGCGGCCCAGGGCGGCCTCTGAGGGCACTTGACGTCAGAGTCAGGTTTGAGACCCTCCCAGGACTGATGAAGTCCCATCTCGGACATGTTATAACTTAATTGTAACTGGCGGCGCTAAAAGTTTTGCTTTGAAAGCACATGGACTTTGGCTCCCTCTCTGCCATCTTCTTCGATGCCATCTTCTTCGATGCCATCTTCGTTGATGCCATCTTGTGTGCTGAGGAGCAGATGCTGTCACCGTGGGAAACACAGCCTTAGAGTACTTTTCCTTAAGCAAAGAAACAAATGCACATTCTGAATTGGCTCCAACTCTAGCACGGAGTGCAAGCTCGTGACCAGGGATGCAGGAAGAAGCGGAAAACAAGCCAACGTTTCATTTTTTCCGTGACAGCCGTGGAGGCCGCGCCGTCCCAGCTCCTTGCTCGTACTTTGAGATCCATGCCTCTCTCTGCGAAAACAAACGCGTGTCCAGGAAGTGGCCCGTGTAGGCGCTACGGACGTAAGCTGTGGAATTCAGTGGCTATTTGCTCCGGGTGTGGTGGTCACTTCCGCCAGCTGCGTGGTCTGGGCCACGGGGGCCGCGTGCGGTGGCATCTGCATCCGTGAGGTCCGCCGGTTCAGATGCTGGTCCCGCCAGAGAGGTGAGGCCGTGCCGTCCCCACAGTGGAGTGTGGCGCAGGGGTGCACCTGGGTAAGGCGGGCTGTGAAACAACGGTTCAGTAGTGTGGCCTCGCCCACACACCCGGAGGTTAGGCCTTGACTTCACCGGAGGCGTCCCTCGTGGGCCCCCTTCCCGGCCCCGCTGCTGCTGCAGGGGTGAGGCCGCAGCGCCTGCCCCGCGGGCTGACGACAGGTCCCGGTTCCGCCTCCAGCCCAGCGCCCTTCCTTCCAGTTCGCTCTTCTCGTCGCTGCCTTGGAAATCTTTCCCAGGTGTTCATCACGAGATGGCGATGGGGTCACCTCAGCCGAAGAGTGTGCGGAGTGAGTGACTCAGGACGTCAAGTTGCCACCAGCCATTCCGGGCCTTCTCGCAAGCTGCCGGCCGCGGTTGATAGGGCGAGAGGCCGTTTGCTACCGTAAGGAAAAGCGCGTCAGAGCAGATGGGGCTGTGCTGGAGCCGCACCGGCCTCGCTGGGTGACAGTCACAGCGAGGAAATGGCAGCGCGTGCACAGCGCCTGCCATGAGAAACGGAAACTGGGATCTCCTTCTGCTACCACTGGCTCATGTTGGAAATGAGGCTGCGGGTATTGACCAGGCCTCACAATATTCCAGATCAGACCGACTTTCCCCACACAGATTGCTCATAGGGAAAAGCATGTCCCTGCCTTTTCCAGAGATTTCAGATGAAAACATTGTGGATGTAAAAGACTCTTCCTAAGGGCCTTGCAGATCCAAGACTTTCATAATAAAGGGGGCTTGAGTCTGGCCCTGAGACAAAGGAGACAAAGAGCCTAATTTAGAGTTAAGGGCAGATATCCACCCCCCACCCACTTGTTTCTGCTTGGACACTGGACACCCCCCCCCCCAAGGCATTTGTTATCAGTATTTGGAGTGACTTATTCTGGCCTTGAGTATGCTGACTGCTCCCTGAGGAGGAACCTATTGAGGAACTTCTTCTTTTGTGATTATGGGAGCAGAGGTGTCTCCTGAAAGACCAGTTTGACCCCTGCTCTCAGAGAAGTAACCTCACCCTTTTAGGCTAAAAACATTGTCTGATACGCTGCTTCTAAATCACCTATCTCACTATTGATAAAGGTTATGCCTAAGTCTTCTACAAATCTATGTTCTGGGAAATTCTTACATATCAAAGAAGTTTGTTATCAGAAATCATTGTCTAAGGCAAATGCCACTTCTGTGGCATCCCCCAAACACTTAATTATAAAATAAAGTTGAGCCCCAGTCAGGGCGGAGATGCTGCCTGGGGACCAGAAAGACTCTCGGCCTCTCTCATCCCTCCCTCACCGACACCGTCCGTCCTTCAGGGCCCCCTGGACCCGGCCGGAGCCGGCCTCCGACAGGGCTGGAAGCCTGTCCACGGGGACTTGGGCCAGGATGGAGCAGCGGTCGGTGACAGGGGCCTCCCGTCCCGTCACACAGCAGCCGCTGCCCGGACGCCTTGTCTGCTTACTATCCGAAGGCCTGCGCGTGGCCGTGTCTCAACAGGGCCTTCAGGGAAGAGGTCTCATTCTCGGGGGAGGGTTCAGTTCTCTGCTGAGGATGTATTGAGCCCCTACGGTGTGCCAGAAGCTGCACAGGCCCTGTCTGTCCCCATATAGTACCCGTGATGTTGGTGTATGACAACTGCAGCGTCCCCTCTGAGGGAAGCAGCGCCTAAATCTTAAAAAGAATTTTTAATGTTTATTTATTTTTGAGAGACAGACACAGAGAGACAGAGCATGAGCAGGGGAGGGGCGGAGAGAGGGAGAGACACAGAATCTGAAGCATTTCCAGGCCCCAAGCTGTCAGCACAGAGCCCGACGTGAGCCTCGGAGTCCTGAACGGTAAGATCATAGCCTGAGCCGAAGTCCGATGTTTAACCCTCTGGGCACCCCAGGCGCCCCTCCTAAGTCTTTTTAACTCCCAAACTCCGAGGGAAGACGCAGGACAAAGTGTAAGGCCCAGACACCGTCTTCAGAGCAGAACCCGGAACTGGCGCCCAGACCCAGGATCTGACCACAGCCCCGGCCCCTCGCTCCCGCTTGAGGCCGATTTTCATTGGCGATATTCCGTCCATGTGGTGCCAAGACATAACCCGAAAGCCTCAGGATGAGTCCCTGGGAACACACCCCCAAAGCGCTTTCCTGAGGTCTTCAAATGTCTGCGTTTTAACCATGAAGAAAAACAAATGGAAAATGCTAAGGTTTACAATGTCTTACCCACAAGCTCAAGGGACACCCTATAAGGAACATAAAAAGCCATAAAAACAAGCGAGAGTCCAGAAGCTTCCCTGGCTATTTCGAAAGTCATCCTACGGTGTGGTCACTAGATTTTAAACAACATCTGAAATAATTTCCAAGAGCAAAATCTCATCTGCCTGCACACAGCTCCCTGCCATCCAAACAAACCCTCCTCGTTCACAGCCTGGATGCCTCTTCTCCTCAAAAATAAGATTCATTTCGGGGCGCCTGGGTGGCTTAGTCGGTTAAGCATCCGACTTTCGCTTAGGTCATGATCTCGCGGTTCGTGGGTTCGAGCCCCGCGTCGGGCTCTGTGCTGACTGCCAGCTCAGAGCCTGGAGCCTATTTCGGAGTCTATATCTCCCTCTCTCTCTGACCCTCCCCTGCTCACGCTGTCTCTCTCTCTCCTAGAAATAAATAAAACATTAAAAAAAATAAGATTCATTTATCGCGGCCTCTTAACATAATTTCCCTTCATCCAAAGTTTCAAGCTCTTGCCCTGTGGCAACCTTCCTTCCGGGAGGGGAGCGGCCCGCTACTCAGGCGGTGGGCACAGACCCTGGGCGCTCCGCTGGGCTGGGCGAACCCGCCTGCTGGGCCCGCCAGGCTCCACGGAGGTGGCGTGTGGAAGCGCCCGGCTCAGGGTCAATACATCATCTTCCCGACGTGGAGCCCCTTCCTCACCTGGTTTCCTATTTAAACCCTTGGACAGCTTTCAAAAACAGTCCAGGCACAGAGTTCCTTGCCATCAGCTCAGCCATCCGACGTTGAAGCCAAAAGTAAACTTCCATCCCACTGGCCCATCTGAGACCAAAGGAGGTAAGCGAAGCGTGTTCAGAATGAGGCCGCAGGCCCTGCCCTGTCCTTCGGCGCTGACTCCGGTCCCCGGCCCCCCGCCTCCCCGCCGACGGCACTTCGCGGGCTCACCTGCGGCGGGAGAGAGGCGTGCGGGCCGGACGCACCTGATTCCGCAGCAAACAGCAGGGCTCCCTCTTCTCGGAGGCAGGAGCTCAGCATGTCCTCGGGGAGTATCAGCTCCTCGCTCTGAAAACCCTGCTGCGTTGCAAATGCAGGGCAGCAACCCTCCCCCAGGAGGGGGTGGCTGGGCTCTGTGGCGCGAGGGGCCCTGCCCGGTGACGTCAGAGACGGTCATCACTGCGGTCAGGAGGGATTTGCCACTTACCTCTGAGTAGCTACCTGCATCGAGATGCACGGATCTCAACAAAACCACGTTCAGTTTAAAAACTCATTCCCCCAAGATACAACGAAAACTAGCCAATGACTTTTCAGGAGCAAATATAGACAGGACGATTCATACACATGCAAACATCTACAGTTCATGCCGTTTTATTTGTAAGTATCACTTATGTAAGTTTTTATATATAAGTATTGTAAGTATTTTAAACTTAGAATATAATATATATATTATGTATTAGTATATACTATATACTAATATATATGCATAAGTATTTATATGTAAGTATTCTAAGTATTTTAAACAGTATATAATTTATAGGCTTTATTGGTATCTATATCAATATTTAATGCAAGACACTATCAAAATAAAACCTGAACTAGTGACGACCTCAGACAGGGCGGGGACGGAAGGGTAGCATAAATCACTGCCACGTTCCCTTTCCACACTGGATGATGGACTCACAGAAGTGACCCACGGAGCTGGGCTGCAGGTTCCTACCTTCCAGACTTCCTCCCACGGCGCCCCCCAGGGGTCAGGAACCCGGCCTGGGGGGGGGGTCTGCCCCCAGGGCACACGCACGTTCTAGCCCTCTCCAAAGGCCATCAAGGAGATTTCCAGACAGTGGTACTTGTGAGCTGAAGGCTTTTATGTAATTCTGTATTTTGTCAGCCCGGCTCCGGTCATGCCTCGAGTGCCATTGTTTCACTCTACCCTGTTCGCTTCCTGGGTGCACACTCTTATTTCCAGGCCTTTTGGGTCAATAAAGCTAAAAAATACACACGTTCTAAAGAGAAAACGAAATCCTGAGCCGTAGAAAATACGTCCGTTTCATAATTTCACGACACGGTTCGTGCCGAGCCACATCGGCTCCAGGCTCGTGTTTCTTTCCTTACACAGCAACCTCAGGCCCCGTGCCTTCGTGCACTGGCAGGAAAGCCCACGAGGGCAACGTGGCTTTCCTCACGCACACCTACAGCGAGCGGCCCCACGGTCGCATGAGGGACATGCACGCGGCGCCCGTCAGTTTCTCCCTGCGGTGGCAATCCGGAAACGGGGCACCCCTTCGCCATCTGAGGAGGCAGCGAATAGAGGAAGCGATTCTGAACCACCCATCTCCGAGGGGCTCTCAGGGGCGCCCCTCTCCCGGGCACACGTGAACCACCGCACAGAGAGCTTCTCCAAGTGCACTCACGTCATCGACGGCGTGGACCACTCCCGCCAGCCCGGAGCTGGGGGCGAAAGAAGGGCGACAGTGACCACGCGCCTCGCAGGGGAGCGCCCCCCTGTCCCCTGCGTCCCCGAGCTCTCCCCCGCCGCTCTCCTCTCGCCGTCGCCCCCTGGTCTCCCCCACCCCCGCCCTCCCCCTGCCTTTGGCTCTGTCTCGTCACCCCTGCTTCTGCCCCTCACCCCTGCTCTCGTATCAACGCGGCTGATTTTCTCCCCGCTGCGCATTTTCGTCTCCCCCCTCCCTTCCTGCGTTCTCTGCCAGTGTTTTCTCTCCGGCCTCTGCTCCCTGTGCGAGTCCCTGCTTGCGCCGTGCGGGACGGACAGACAGATCTACATCCCGGTGCCGCCTGCAAGCCCAGCCGTGCGGGGACTCGACGGCACACCAAAGTCTCTGTCCTCAGGACCTGGGCCGTCTGAAGGCGGTCCTGCGTCTGGAAAAAGGCACGTGTCGCAGAAATGGGAACTAACTGACGTAGGTGATGCAGGGACAGAGACCCAGGCTCAGGAAGCGGCTTGTGCAGCTCTGCGAGGCGGCAGGACTCCCCGCGGCGGCCCGGCGGCCACGGGAGGGCCACGCGTCGCGAAGGCATCCCAGGCTGGGGCCGCTGGCGGCTGCACACGGCACGTGGCTACCGGTCGGCACAGCACGTGCTTTGCCCACAGAAGAGACTTGAAGACAGAAGTGCGCGGCCCGCCGAGCAGGCGCAGACCGTGTCTGATGCCGCGGGGCCGGCCCACGGGCTTCTGGAGGCCTTCCCAAGTCGAGTGCCACACCGTGGGACGCAAACGTCAGGGAGGCGTGAGGGAGGCCCCTCCGGCAGAGCAAGGCTTGCGGGGACGAGGCGGGACCCCTCCCAGCCACCCTACAGGGCAGGAGGGAGTCCCCGCCCGCTGTGGACCCGCCGTCGGACGTGTGGGGCGTCCAGCTGGCAGGGCCTAGAGCGTGGCATCCATCTGGCCGCAGTGGGACGGAAATTTCCATGGGGGTTGTTTCATCAGGGGAAGAGGGAGAAGTCATACCGAGTATGGTTTTCAGGCAAACAGGCAACGGAGACAAACCCAGATGTTCTGTTATCCAGGGATACGGTCACAACCCTGGGTCACAGGTACCAGCTGGGCCGGTACAGGTTGCCTTTCCGCGCCCGAGGGGCGTCTGCGTAAATACTGGAGGACACATCGCTTTGATGCACCAACATAGAGAGAGAGGACCAGCGAGGGCTCGGCCCCGCCAGGCGCTAAATGAAGGCCGACCTCGGGCAGCCCAGCCCGGTGGCCCGGCGGCTATTCACTGTGAGCGAGGCAGCGCCCGCCCCCAGGGACGGAGACCCGGCTTCGCGACCAGCGGCAGGAAGGCAGGAGGCATGGGAAACTGCTGCATTTTCTATTGTGTTCCTTAAACACACACACACACACACACATACACACACGCAGCAGAAGCAAATTACCTGCTCTGTGAGGCTGGGTCATCGAATTCCTTATCAAAAGGCAACAAAGGGCGGATCCGACAGTGAACTCTGATGTTGCCCATCAGCTCCTACAACAATCGAGGTTGTACCTGTGAGCTCGGGGCGCGGCCGCTTCCTCCGGGAGCTGCTTCCTCGCCAGCCGCGGGCGCGCCCCCAGGCCGTGAGCGCCCCACTTCCTTCCCCCAGCTTGGCTTCTGCACACACCCCGCGGAGCGGCACTGAGTGGTCAGCATCCTGTGGGGCTTTGCAGACAGCCACGCTGGGTGCGTCACTTGGCAGACCGTCGTGTGGTGACAGGGTCCAGAGGCCACCTCCCTGCGTCAAACTGATGAGGCATTTTGGGAGAAGTTTCTCAAATCCGGTACTTTTCCTATTTTCCAGACCCCGCCAAGCGTGCGTGTAAATCGCGGCACGATGTGATGTTGGTGACGGTGTGGGCCACGGCCCCCCACGGCGCCGCGCGGGAGAAGGGAGCGCGTCCGCGTGGCCGGGCAGCGCTCAGAGCCCTTGGCGGTGCGGGTCCACCACGTGCGGGGACCCCGGCTCCGCGCCGCGCCCCACCCCCCGCCTGCTGCGCCGGCGGGACCATGACGAGGCGCACTACAGCGGCCGTGGCCTCCAGAAGCCGCCCTTCTCCCCCACCCCTCACTTGGCCCCTGCAGCAGGGGGGCCCCGCGGCCCTGACCAGGTACAAAAAGGCACCAAGTTGCTTAGAAAGTGCCGGGTCCTCAGAGCCCCGGCCGAGGAGCAGGTCACACACAGGAGAACTGCTCTCCGGGGGTCTGGCTGTGGGGGGGGGCCGCGGACAGCAGAGACTCCTCCCGGGAGCACCACGGTCCTGGGGCTGCCGCCACGGGACCACGAGCCAGCGGGCTCAACCCCATCACCGAGCCTCACGGAAGTTCACCCAGCAAACCATTAACCGTGGCCTCGTGGGGAGCAGAGCGGAAGCCTGAGTCTGTGCCCTGTGGCCGCAGACCCCAGGCCATGTACGAGAGTGAGGGGGGCCGGGCTTTGTGTCCTGCGAACAGTGGAGGCAGAGCTGGGGGAGGGAGAGCTGGGGAGGGAGAGCTGGGGGAGGGAGAGCTGGGGAGGCAGAGCTGGGGGAGGCAGAGCTGGGGGAGGGAGAGCTGGGGAGGGAGAGCAGGGGAGGGAGAGCTGGGGAGGCAGAGCTGGGGAGGGAGAGC